CAACTTTTGCACCTCATCTTCATTCACTGGTCCCTGACCGGTTGATGACCTGTTATTCCAAGCTATTTTCTTATCTTTGCAAATCATTATACCATAAATCTCATCTTTCACAAAGATAATATTTTGCAAAGATAAGAAAATAACTTGGAATAGTAGGTCATTAACCGACCAGGGACCAATGAATGAAGATGAGGAGCAAAAGTTGGATTATTCATGAATAATCAAAATGTGGGATTATTGAAAGAAGACTGCTAAAAGGTTGGATTATTAGTTTCCATTTTCCAAATTAATATAAAAAAATGGGAATCCAAAAGATGAAGAAAACGAATGAACAATGGAAGAAAAGAGGAAATTGAGAAGAAGAGAACAAAAGAGAAGAGGGGGAGGCATATTAGCCATCATCATTCGAGTAAAGGGTCAGTTTGGTCCTCGAAGTTGCAAAAATGGGGTCAAATAAGTCCTTATATAGAAGATTTTGTCCGGACGTGCCATTTGAGGTGGCTCCCGGTAGAATTTTTTGATGAATTTTTTTGAGCATCTTATTCATTAAGTCTAGTTTACTCATACCAAATTTCAGCTAAAAATTCAATCGGGGAGACATTCAAATGAATACTTGAAGATAACTGCGCTTTTAACGGCACAGTTATCTTCAAGAATTCATTTGAATGTCTTTCCGATTGAATTTTTATTTGAAATTTGGTATGAGTAAACTAGACTTAATGAATAAGATGCTCAAAAAATTTCATCGAAAAATTCTACCGGGAGCCACCTCAAATGGCACGTCCGGATAGAATCTTCTATATAAGGACTTATTTGACCCCTTTTTTGCAACTTCGAGGACCAAACTGACCCTTATCCCATCATCATTCATAATCGTCATTGACGCTCAAATGGCCTCATACATGCAGCGCATGGGTTGCTTAGTTGTAGTCCTTTCTGTTTTACAATATTATGAGGCCAGGTATTCAATCGGGGATGTAGCTCAGATGGTAGAGCGCTCGCTTAGCATGCGAGAGGTACGGGGATCGATACCCCGCATCTCCAGTTTTCATTACTTTAATTCGAAGTATATTTTTGTGCTTTAGGTAGGGCTATTATTAATATATTTGTCTCTTACAACTCCGAGTAAGTTCCTATTCCTTTCCGGAATTCATGATAATTGATAACCATTTTGTAAACGAGTTTCACATATTGTTAAGATCTGGAGTTCCATCTTAAAAGGTCAACCTGATAGGAGGAGTAGCCCATGTGTTAATATAGCACTTTGTTCATCCAAACTTTTCCGGTGTGGGACATTTAACACCCCTCCTCACGACCAGACACTTTTTGTCTGGATCGTGCCATCATTCATTTGTTTTTTTTTCATTGGTCCGTTTTTTCATCCGGCCATAATTGTCATTTTTTCATAAGGGGCCCCACACCATGGATCGATTTGGCTCTGATACCATGTTAAGACACGGGGTTTGGTACCACATATTAGGATGGAACCCCGTGTCTTAACACATATTTTAGGATGGAACCCCGTGTCTTAACACATATTTAATATTTTTTACCATTAGGGCTATTAATACGTCTCTGTTTCTAAACTCAATTAATTTCTTTTAGGGCTATGATTTTATGAAGTATGTAAAGCTCTTATAGCTCCCCCATGTCCATTTTGTAAAACATCCTAATTGAAAAGTAACTAAAATATCAACAACAATTATATAAAACTCCAAAAGAAAGGTTTATTAAACCATTTCTCCCATTATCTTTATTCCATCATTTATAGATCTTGTTTCGTTTCAATAGTTCTTTGGGTTGTGATGTGGTTGTTATTAGTGACTAGTAGTTTAGTCATAATGGTGTAGTCAATATCGGTAAATTGTGAAAGTAACTATTGGCGGAGTAACCTCGCGGCGCAGCAGCTATGGTGGCGGCAATCATTGGCAATTGTTGGGCAGAATTCCCCCATGTTTGTGTAGGGTTTTTTGTTGTCTGTATAGAGACATAACGTATTTGAATCTGTATAGAGACATAACGTATTTTTCAAATACGTTATGTATGTATACAGACAACAACAAACCCTACACAAACATGAGTGTGTACTCGCATGTATGAAATATGTGTAAGAATAGAATGTTTGTAATTTTTAACTTATACGGAGTAATAAATATAGTATAATAATAACTGTAATATAGTAATATTAAATAAAGAGCATAAATGGTACAATTACTCACTTTTTGGAAAACTTAAAAGAAGACATATTTTTATCTTTTATATTTATTTTAATAATATTCATAAAAAAGGTCATTATATTTACCTACCCTATCATCACATTTTTGTACTTACTTTTAGAAACAAAATAACATTTGTATACATTTTTTTGTATATTTCGTTGTTCTTAAGGTCATGGGCGGATCCAACGTGGGGGCAAGGGGTAGCTTCCCCCACTCTAGAGCTGGGTCCGAAAAACTGAAAACCGAAAACCGAATCAAATTATACCGAACCGTAGCCAAATAAAACCGAACCGCTAACAAACCAAAACCGAATGTAAAAAACCGAACCGAACCGTAGTTGTGTGGTTCAGTTTTGGTTTTTACCCTTCAAAACCGAACCGAACCGAACAAACCGAACTAATTAAAATATAAAATTTATTTGTCAATTATCAAGCATTAATCCTAACTAATCCTAATATCATTAATAGTCCTTGGCCAATCTTTTCTTTCCAATATGTGGTATCTTGTACACATTGCTCCCCTTCACCCTCATTATTTCAGTCATACAACATTGTAGAGTAAACCACACATCATTCAAAGTTTTTGCCTCTAACTTTTCAAATGCATCTTGAACACATTCAACCAATTCAATAACTGTTTTTGGGGAAGACTCGTGTTGCAATGACTGGATGGAATTAAAAAAAACTTAGATCTAGAACATTTAGGTCAGGATAGTTTGGGGGTTGACATGTTAAAAGAATGTTAAACCCATCAGCTTCGGCAACTGCCTTGAAATCTAGGTCAGATGGGTTAATGTGAGGTTTGGCATTATCTTGTTGAATAAAAATAGTCTTGCTCCCATGAATAGGCCACTTAGATTTAATAGTTGGGACCACTTTTTCAAGCTAGCACACCTGCCACTCTATTCTTGGATGCCCTCTTTGCTGCCCAATGACTCTGAAAGGGAAAATCCCTATTTTTCCATCGAATAATATATCTTCATCTGGACCAAATCTTGGCCTAGCCACAGCTGCCAAGAACATCACTTTTATAATGAACCTTTTGGGTTTAGAAGTCCTCACCGGATCTATTTCAGTAGGGTCCAGGTAGTATTTTTGAGTAGTTTTACTTAAGAAAAACCATTTCCCATCTATATGAACGTAATTGTAGAATGCATCAAAGGTTGGAGTTAATCTAATACTTCTCGGTAAGAAATGGCTTTATTGCACTGCTATGTGATCTGACTTCACCTGCTTGCACAAGCATGTGCACTTGTGAGTTGTGACTTTGACATTTCAAGAGGCTTTGCTAGGGTTCTAATGTTTTTTCTTTTGTGTAGAGGAATATCTAGCAATTTGGAGATCTCCAACGGACCAATCTGCCTAGGCCGACCTTTGTACTTGGCCTTAACATCAATAGGAATTTTCAAGAGTAGCTGGTTCTTCATAATATTCCAAATGGTGCTAATGGACTGTCTTGAACAAGAAAACAGACAAGCAACAACAGAATTAAACCCCTACGCAGCTTCCCATTGACAAAAGAGACTACTAAAATCTCTGCATTTCGAGTTTTATCTTGTGAGTTTAATTTTATCCTGAGTGTAGGCTTGGTATGGAGACTTAATATTCTATGGCTTGAGAGACCTTTATAAAGGTGCTTGTGAGCGGTTGTAATGGACTCACATTTTAATATGAGTTGAAACTTAAAATTTGTGTTGTTGTTTTCCCTCTTAAATTTGTGTTTCCCTCTACTTTTGTATTTCCTCCCACTTGAGCTGAATTAATTAAGAAATGGGGGAGTTAATAGCCGCATGCAGTATAAAAGAAAAAAAAGTACTCCCATTGCCTGGTACTGCTCACGTGTCGAGTCGGTGGGAACTGTCCCATTTCAAGAGATTAACAAGGTCCAAAGAGGAAGAGAGGGTATAAAAGGGCTTTCATATTCCATTAAGGGAAAATGGAAACTAATAATCCAACCTTTTAGTGGTCTTCTTTCAATAATCCCACCTTTTGATTATTCATGAATAATCCAACCTTTGAACCTCATCTTCATTCACTGGTCCCTGACCGGTTGATGACCTGTTATTCCAAGCTATTTTCTTATCTTTGCAAATCGTTATACCATAAATCTCCTCTTTCACAAAGATAATATTTTGCAAAGATAAGAAAATAACTTGGAATAGCAGGTCATTAACCGATCAGGGACCAGTGAATGAAGATGAGGTGCAAAGGTTGGATTATTCATGAATAATCAAAAGGTGGGATTATTGAAAGAAGACCGTTAAAAGGTTGGACTATTAGTTTCCATTTTCCCTTCCATTAATTGGTCTTTTTAAACACTGTATCAAAAGCAAACGTCTGGGACGAAGGGAGTAATAATCTGTCATACACGAAAGATGAAAAGATGTATTAAGCGTATTTAAAGAAGGGTTAATTTGAGTTTGCATCCCATTTTATTACCCAAATTGGACTTTGCACCTCGTTTTTAAAATTCTTTGCATTTGCAACCCCAACCTAGTATGAAAAGACGAAAATGTCCCTCCATTAACAATTCGGTTGGCCTTCAACATATTCCTGATCAAGGGGCATTTTTGTCTTCTCATACGAGTTGGGGTGCAAATACAAAGAATTTTAAAAATGGGGTGCAAAGTTCGATTTGGACAATAAACTGGAGTGTAAATTTAAATTACTCCTTCAAAAAACGTGTAGACCAACATTTTGTAGACCAACATTTTCTTCCTTATTCAAGTATATTTTCCAACCCTCTTTAGAACTTTATTTTTCTCTGCTCGCTGGTCTGGCGCGCGCTGGAGGGAACCAAATTCCGCCGTATATTTGCAGTTGTAAATTTCATATTCAAAAATCAAAACTAACCCCCAACCTATATATACCCGATTACCCTCTGTCCAATTCCGCTTTTTCCCCGAAATCTGAAGATTGACCATTTTAGCTAACTAATTAAAAAAGGATGCTGACTACTGCCAGCGATGATGGCTACGCCGCCCATGGAAATCAGCAGACCAAGTTACTCCCCAAACGCATAATCTTAGTCCGCCACGGCGAGAGCCAAGGCAACAAGGACGGCGCCGCCTACGCCATGACCCCCGACTACAAGATCTCATTGACGCCGGAGGGAATCGAGCAGGCGAAGCAGGCCGGGTCGAGCATCCGGCGACTTCTCTCCGATGGAGGCGGGAACTGGAAGGTCTACTTCTACGTCTCCCCGTACGAGCGCACGCGGTCCACTCTCCGCGAGATCGGTCGGGCGTTCCCGAGGAAACGGGTCATCGGGGTCAGGGAGGAGTGTCGGATCCGGGAGCAGGATTTCGGAAACTTCCAGGTGACGGAGAGGATGAAGGTGATTAAGGAGACTAGGGAGAAGTTTGGGCGCTTCTTCTACCGTTTTCCCGAAGGTGAATCTGCCGCAGACGTTTTCGATCGCGTTTCGAGTTAGTACTCTTCCCAATTTTTCAATTTTTTTCAAGTAAAAAAAACCTCGGGGCATGGCCAAAAGGTTTACTGGAGTATGTTTTTTTAAGAAGTTTACTGGAGTATGTTATCATAATACGGAGTATGTTTTTATTTAATTATTGTATCATGTAAGAAATATTCTAATTGGTTCAGAAAAAATTAGATACTTGCGGATCTGGCCTGAAATATATAAATTCGCTTATAATTATGAAGGGAATAAATGGTGCAAATGCTAGTGTTTTTATGTGAGATAACTAGATAAGCTCTTACGTTTTTTTAAGTGCACAAATACCTTAATATTACCTCAAAAAGAAAAATCAGCCTTTATTAACTTTAAGGATTCATAAGATTCACAATGGGCACGACGGCATATTGAAATTATTATACGTCAAATAACCTAGGTTTAGTTTCACACGATGAAATGTCTAATGTTTTCTCGCAAGAAAAATTAGGTTTGATCTTGTCTGGTCTGTGACTAAAAAAGTCCAAGTAAAAACATCTTAAATGCTAAAATCATATAATTAGTATTTAGAAGACTTCAAAAATATTTAACTAATAAATTGTGTGGGAAAATGAAAAAATAAGAATTTAAATTTATTTTTCTTAACAAATTGTAACATATATAACTGTATAACAAAAAATTGGAAATAATAAATTGTAACTTGCAATATAACAACAACGACATCCAAGCCTTAATGCCAAAAGAATCTGAGGTCGGCTAACATACATGAATCGATCTGTGATATCAGTGCGAAAAAGAGAAGCAAGATAAAGGGAAAAAAGTAAGATAAAATAGATAAGATAAAGATAAATTTAAGATAACAATAACATAAGAAGAAAGAATAAAGATAAATAGATAAAAGACCATAAAAAAGATAGAAGATAAAAATAACATAAGAACATTAAAAGATAATGAAGAGAAACGATAAAAGAAAAGGAGGGAGGAAATATTTTGTTTCCTTCTAAAAAAACTACCTCATACCTATACAAACAAAAAAAAAATGTGTTAAATGTTTGTATATTTATATTTATGGTGTTGCTGTGTGAGTGCTTTGCCTTGCATGGACCCTAATGTGCACCGTAAATTCTCTCGTACAGCCGGTTGTACCGTGCGCACGGTACAGCCGGCCATTTTTTAGGCTCTGCGCTTCTTCTGCTTCAATCTTGTTGTGCGCTTCTTCTGCTTTGATCTTTGCTCTGCGCTTCTTCTTCGGCTTCGCACCAGCTATTCCGATCTCGTTTGGTTCTTCGATCTGGCTTCGTCTAGTTGCTTCTTCGCCGGAGAAACCAAAGCGGAGATGGCCCCTTCTCCTCTAGAACGGACACAACAGATCTGATTCTCCTTCCTCACCCCTGTTTTTCTTTTCACTCTTTTCTGTTTTTCTCCTTTCTTATTCAATTTTGGTGTTTGAAATTGTGATTTTGGAAGACAAAGCAAGCCTACTGTAGACAAAGGAAGACCATATTGCTATTGATCTCAAATGAGTTTTATATTAAACTCAAATGAGTATACACATAAAAAAAATGAACATACACAACTGACTATTAAGCACATTAAAAATGAGTTTTATATTAAACTCAGATGATCTGAGTATACGCCTCAAAGAAATGAACATACACAACTGACTATTACGCACATTAAAAATGAGTTTTATATTAAACTCATATGAGTATACGCCTCAAAGAAATGAACATACACAACTGAATATTAAACACATTAAAAATGAGTTTTATGTTAAACTTAAATGAGTATAAAGCCCAAAATCAATGAGCATACACAAAATGAGCTTTTGAATTTTTTTAAACTCATTTTGTAAATTATGTATGTTCATTTGGTACTGCTTTATGCTCATTTTAAAATGATGCACATATCAAATATAACGCCCAAAATTAATGAGCATACACAAATGAGCTTTTGAATTTTTTATACTCATTTTATAAATTATGTATATTCATTTGGTACTGCTTTATGTTCATTTTAAAATGATGCACATATCAAATATAACGCTCAAAATCAATGAGCATACACAAATGAAGTTTTGAATTTTTTGATACTCATTTTGTAAATTATATATGCTCATTTTAAAATGATGCACATATCAAACATATCATACTACAGTAGATCGACATATTGAAATTAATTATAAATACAATTTAAGAATTTTTTATAAACGGAAATTGATAAAAAGAAACTGAATTAGAAGATATGAAGCAGAGATCACGGGTGCTCATTGTTAGGCTTCTAATACTCAGAAGAACAGACTCGATGCTCATCAAAATTACTTCGATGCTCATTTACGAGAAATCATGAACTTCATCAAAATTACAAAAATGCCACCGGCTGTACGGTGCCCGGCCGTACAGCCAGCTGTATGGTATACGCTTGCAATGTGCACTGGGTTGTCTTTTCTTATAAAATATACTCCGTATATTTTAAACTTTGTTTGTGAACTTGTTTTTTTAAATGTTTGCAAATATCCCAAAAAGACACTCCACCGTCCGCAGATTTATTTTTGTATAGCAGTCAGGACGGAGTTAAAGGAAACACATACAACCAAATGGTTGCAGTTTTCGGTAATTGAAGGTTTTGAAATAGTATTTCATTAAGGTAAAGATTTTCAAGAATCGGGAATGAAGCATATTGATAAGAGAGACAATATGGAGGATGGAGTGGTAAAATGAACAATGCCATGCTTAGTAAGGAAAAGGATCAATTACTTAGTATGAATATGGTTGCTTAATACAGAGTAATAAATATTAGGAAAATGTTGATAGTAATAATCCCAACTATTGGCGGTCCGCTAATAATAATCTCAACTATCGATTATTTAAGAAATAATCCCAACTTTAGGGACCTTCCGCCAATAATGGTCCCTATAAATAAGTTCATGTAGTTTCTAAAGTAGATGAGAAGAGATATAGCAAGTAATCTCTATAAATAATCCCCACTTTTAATTTTACGCTTAATTTCTATTTAAAATTCACTTGTTATAGGAGGTAATATCTGGTCATGGACCATTATTGGCGGACGGTCCATATAGTTGGGATTATACAAAAATAATCAATAGTTGAGATTATTGTCAGCGGACCGGCAATAGTTAGGATTATTATTTTCAATTTTTCCTAAATATTATTAGTAGTACTAGTATTGGTATGTTTTTGTTGTTATGCTATTGTTCAGTATCTGTATTAAATTTAAATTGCATTGTAGACTTTCTTGTGATTCCATTAGAGACGTCATGTTCCCCATACATATATACATGTACTCTATATTTGTTAATCAATCGATTTTATATTTCTCTCGTCTTATATAAATTCTTTTCTCGAATAGTAAACTTTTAATTGATCATTATGTTAGGAATTGTTTGAGTACCCTTTAAGTTATAACTAATTTTCACATGTTGATTTCCATGTCAATGCAACAAACTCATAGGGCTAGAGTGCTAGACCAAAAGGCTGGATCAATTCGAATGAAAATGTAGCATGCGAAGAATTAATAAAACTTGGAGATCCATTCTAAAAGTCAACTTGACTAGAGGAGTTAATTGGAACTTTTATATGTTAGTTTGTATTTCTATATCCACCAATATTGAAAGCTTTCCCTTTAATGCAGGCTTCCTAGAATCACTATGGAGGGACATAGATATGCAAAGACTCCAACACCAGCACCCCTCTGATGAATTGAATCTTGTAATTGTGTCTCACGGACTAGCGATACGCGTCTTCATGATGAAGTGGTTCAAGTGGACGGTTGAGCAGTTCGAGCGTCTGAACAATCCCACAAATTGCGAGATTCGAGTAATGCAGTTAGGGAATGGAGGAGAGTACAGTTTAGCCGTCCATCATTCTGAAGAAACGATGGAAGCTTGGGGGCTGTCACCCGAGATGATTGAAGACCAAATGTGGCGGGTTGATGCCCCTAGAGGTGCTTGGAATGAGAAATGTCCTTGGTACCTAAGTGCTTTTCTTGACACTTATGCTGAAGAAGAAGAAGAGACTTTATTGTGAAGATGCGAATGGAATTTGAATTTAAGTTTTTATAGATGTGGTTCTCTTATGTCACCCCCCTCCTCCACACCCCTATGGCCCTATATGCGGTTTGCAGTTAGACTAAGGCTTTTCTTCCAAGTTAAACTAGGACACTAAAATATATGTCATTTTTTGTCCTAACTGGGAAGATATATGTGAATATCTCAATTTGCATTGTTGATATCTTTTAGAGTTCACATTTCCAGCAAATTCTGATGCTGAGCTTTTGATATTATAACTTCGATTGTACTTCTGATTAGTTTGGCATAAGAGAATAACGAAAGGAAAAAAAAGTACATGCACAAACCATGGAAAAGAGTCCTGAGTCATTATTGTTACTTGAGTCAGCTGAGTGTGATACTGTGATAGCTGATTGTATTAATAGGATAGGGAATTATATTCTAACTTATTTTAATAATATCTTTAATTCAAAACTTGTACCTTTAATACTTTAATTAAATACACATAAATACGATTAATGAACAAAATTAATATTAGAGCTAAACAAATTGAAAACCAGCAAACCAGACTAGAACCCGAACTGGAACTGCCAGTTCAGAACCGCCAAGAATTGGTATTATAAGGTTTTGGTTCCGGTTTCCTAGTTTTCGGAACCAGGAACCTCCAGTTCATTTTCTGTTCAAACCAGGGACATGTCTACCTCCTAGAAATATATGCACACACATGACATATACACATAAAACGTATATTTTCTTTACACTTTTCAAGGAAAAACACTCATTCAAATAAATAAATCATCCTGAGACAATGCATTGAGTATGAAACTGGACTTTCCAAGTAGAAATAAACAATGTTATTATATGAGCATAAAGTTGTGCGTAAATTACCGCTATCAAATATTGACACTAAGCAAATGTACAATCAAGTTGGCTATGCTAGGAGCCTAGGATTTGCCTTTATTTGTTGTTGTACTTGTAAGACAGAGGGCCGGACTTGGAGATCGCAGACCTTGGTCCTGTACTTGAGGATGTCGATCCTTCCATATGTTTTACTTTGCGACTGTCACTATAATCCAGTGGCCCAGATCGCCGCATATTTCTATGCCTAATTTCAATGCTTCCGCTGTCAGTTTCGTACAGCTGGTGGTTTTGGATGTGGCTTGATGATGATGATGGCTTATTAAAGTAGCCAGAATCATTAAGACTTGCATGGGTTGAATATTCACGGTGAGGCTGCTGCCTTGCTGCTGCCAGAGATGAGTGCCCAAGCGCAACAGAAGGTGAATATCGGGGAGATGAGTTCAGCAATGCAAGTTGTTGGCCAGAAGAGGAGTTTGAGTAATACTGGCTGTAGATGGATCGGAGAATGGCGTATGGAATGTAGCTTTCAAGTGTGCTTCTTGGAAGGAATGGAGACATCTCACAAATTTGATCTAGGAAGATGAGCTTTGCTACAATGCTAGATCTGTGAGAACACAAGTCCAAAATAATGCCTAATAAGTACCTGGCTAACAGCCAGTGGGTCTTCAAATCATGCTTTCTAAATGCTACATATTTATTTATACGTAAAGTGTGTATGCACTAAAAGGTAAGTGTGGCAATTCCGTGTACAAGGTATTGTTAGTGTATGCTTGTGCTGGTGAGATGTGATTGTTTTTATTCCACAAATCTTAGAGAAGGTGACTAATTGTTAAGCAGGTGGTGTTTAAAAACAATAGTGGTTTAAAAAAATTAGAAGCAGGAGGGTTTGGTAAAAAAAATACTTATTTGTCGAAAGAAATTTTAAACATGTTCTACCGCTTAGAGCTTTTAGCTTCAAGCCTTCAAACTGTATAAAGTAAAGAGTTAATTCCCTTAATAGAAGCACAACATTAAAAAAGTTCCCAAATAGGAATTTAATTTTTGATAGGAGTAAAAAGTATATTGCTTGACCAAATTACCCTTAACAAAATATAAGGTATATTTATATTTATACTGGAGTATTTAAAAAGAAAAAGAAATTAAAGAATATTTCAAACCCTAGAACTACTGCCGCATTCACCAAAGCTGCTGCCACCCTCCACTACCGCCACCCTTCCACACCATTGCAGCTGCCACCACCATCCGGCGTCTCAGTCGCTGCCGCACTCCAGCATCTCCGCCACTGCTGCCGTCAGGCTCCGTTGTCTGTGACGCCGTCACTGTCACACTCTGCCGCCGCTGCCGTCAGGCTCTGTTGTCTGTGTCGCCATCACTGTCACATTCCGCCGTCTCTGTCAATCTCCGGCAACGCCCTTCTCTGTTGATCTCCTCCGGTGACGGCCTCCTCCATTGATCTCCTCCGGCAACCTCCTCCCCGTCCATCTCCTCCAGAGACAACCTCCTCCGTTTATCTCCTCCTCCAACGAGGCCGCCGCCACGCCACGAGAGGGAGAAGAAAGAGGGGAGAAAGTAAAGGGAAGGGTGCTGCTACAGAGAAAAATAGAGGAAGGGGTATAACAGGAATTGAACTCCCGTTTAGGGAATAAAACACATGGGGTCCTATTTTAGAACAACTCTTATATTATACTCCTATCCAGCGCAATTACTTTAATGTTAAGCAGAAGCACCAACTTCAAAATACTGTTTTAGCACAAAAAGATACAAATTCCAGAAGATAGTCTTTACCTGTTGTTTTCATTCCAATAATCCAGGATAATTCCAGAAGAGAATTTGACAAAAAGTTGCATTGTGGACTTGATGCTTGCCTCGACAGATGAACGGTTATGTACCTCAGCAGGATCCAATGCCTCATCAGTGTGACCATTTGAAAAAGACTGCTTCAACTGATGTTCTCTTTCGAGCCTGACGAATTCACTTCCTGCAATAACACCACAAATACACCTGCCCAGAGAAAAGCCAAAGTCAGATCATGGATTATGCTTGTGGAAAATGATACTACCTCTGTCCTATTAACATTGGGACATCAGGAGGTGGTGCAGTTATTCTGAAAAGTCGGTTTATGTGATTGATATTGAATTGATAAAGTAAAAATAAAGTTTAGAACCACACAAATTTTACCAAATTTGGTATGGGACAATCCTAGTGGGGCGGTTCGAAAAGGAAAGATACTGGGAAAAATTAACGAGGCGGAAGGAGTAGAAAAGGTACAGGGAATATGACTAAAATAGGTGGCGATTCCTAAAATATGAATAACAAATTTTTATTCCAAAATTAATGGTGTTTTGCGTGTATGGTACGTATTCCGATATTACTTTTTCTCCCTTCAATTTAATTATTATTCATAAAGAGACCTGATTAACTTTGTTAGTAATATAATTAAGCTTGGAATTTTGTAATAGTGTAATACCACTTGTAAAGTTAAACATCATATTTGCACTACTCAGCAATCTTGATGAACAAGTAAATAGAGTCCTTACCTATTACTCCCTCCATCCCACTATACATGTCCCATTTTCCTTTTCTGTCCACGGTCCGTCCCACTAATTTTGTCTCATACCATATTTGGTAACATTTGTGTGGTTTTAATTCATTCTTACTTTATTCCCACTTTATCAACTCATTATCAACCACATAATTCTACTTTTCTTAAAAACTAAACCAGTTCCTTCTAATATTAAGGGGACGGAGGTAGTACAATATATTCATATTGGTATATTTACACAAATTGAATATCAATATTAATTGCTTTAAAGTAGTAGTAGGGAAAATCATATATTTACTGCGAAACTTAAAGTAAATTGATTTTCCCTACTACTACAATTAAAGCAATATTAATCGCTTTTCATATATTACAATAAATTAATATTTTCACTTGTACTGGTTCTGAGAATATAGGGAAAATCAAGGTTTAATGGAACTTAACTATGCTTAAATAATTGCAACCTAGGTTAGATCACCCACAAGGAATCTCTCCATTTCATTCTACAGACTGAAATTTGTCTTTAGCCAGTACATAGCTTGCAATGAATTCAAGTATATGTGTTCTGTCTCCTATTACCACCGGCATTGTCTGCAGGATGATGTTACTAAAGCTTATCATCTATTATCACTAATAAATTAAGCGATTTAGGGCACCCATGGACTAAAACATATCCAACAATCTCTGAGCACACATCTAGGAAGACTTCAAAATAGATAAAAGTACTTCAGCCAAACTTATATTAAAAAGTTACTTTTATTGAAATTTTAATGCTTTTATTGAATTGAAAGTCGCCAACTTAATAGCACTTTTGTCAAGCCATGAAGCACCGAAATTGTGCTTTTCAGAAAATGCTGTTTATAAATCAATCTATTTTGTTCATTTATTCTCAGTATGTACCTTGATCATTCAAGAAACAAAAAAGAAGATTGATGCATGCTGCATGCACAATAATGTCAATACAGATCACAAAGCAAAATCCCATTAATATTTAGAACTTAGTACAAGTACATGCATTGATGCATATGAAGAAAAAGTGTTTAAAAATCTAACCTTGCCAAGCAATGAATGTTGTTGTTGAAGCCTCCAGTGTCAACATTGAAAGCTGTCGTACTCCAGATGTTTGATGTCATGAAAGTGGCAAATAAGTACGGCAAAAAGCTCCACGAACCATCACTTGCACCCCCACCAACCTCTTCAAAAATTAACCTGACCCACTCCGAATCATGGTCATCAGCTAGAGCAACACTGTTTATCACCCTCCTTAACCTTCTTACTTCCTTTTTCTCAGGTATTTCCTCAGGCAAATGCTTAGTGACCCCTGCTAGTAAAGAATGAATGAGAGGAGCACCTTCTTGTAATACAGCTCCAGCAGCTTCAGCTAGAAGACAGTCAAATGCAATAGCCTCTCCTGCCTGTACACAGAACCCAACCATGGTGTCCATATCAATGATTTGCTTGATATTTGTGTCTCGATCAATCCGGTCACCGGAGTGCATGCTTCCTGCAACTGCCTCCAAAACCTCACGGTTGGCCCGCAGTGACGTGTCAATGCAGTTCAGCAGCGCTGCAGTGTGCTCTTTGATCATTCTGTCGAACCGGTCAACCCCATAACCACCAAAAATACGAACAAAAGCTTTTAATTCCCTGAGATTAGTGACGGACTCAGCAAAATATCCCCCAACAGGTCTTGAGCTCTTGAAGGATCTATGAAGTGGTGCAAAGAGGATGCCGGCACCAGAAACATCCTTCACAATGTTTTCAATGTACCAATCACACACAGCTTCAGTTGCTGATCCTGTGGACTGCTCTGCAGCTTTCTCAAACATATGTAGAGATGAAACTGGACCACAGAATGTCTCTGTCAGTAAAATTTCACGGATGCCCTGTGTTAGGTCCATGCTAA